ATGAGAGATTAAAATAACTAAACATCAGCATTCGCTGACGTAAAGTGTTAGGTACGTTAGTTTATCTACTGTTGCCCCCGACTGCGTTCACGCAATATTAAGATAAAAAGTGGTTCGGTCGAAATCGATCCAGCCGTTTCGGAGATAACCCGAAACAAACGCGGCTTGCGATCAGACAGACACACAAAAAAAAAATTGTGATTTTCGTTATCAACAACGCAAATACATCATCTTGCAGAAATCTGGAATTGCACTTCGGATATTACAAACAGACACTCCAATTTTATTATATGTATAGATAGAATAGCATAAAACAACTGAACATCAGCACTCACTGACGTAAAGTGATTCAGATTTCATTAATTAGTTCTTAAGTTTTATTTATGAACTAGCTTTCGCCCGCGAATCCGTCCGCGTGGAGTTAAAAAAATCAAAAGTAAGTACACTATGTGTTCTTCCAGACTACCCTCTACCTTGCCAAATTTCATCGAGATCCGTTCAGCCGTTAAGGCTACAAACCCTACAAACATTCTTCCATCCATCTAAACTTTCGCATTTATAATATTACTAGTTTTCGACCGTGACTCCGTCCCCGTTAAATAAAAAAAAACGTGAGGAGACTATGTGTTCTTCCAGACTATCCTCTACATCTATACCAAATTTAATCGGAATACGTTCAACCGTTTAGGCTACAAACTCTAACAAACATCCTTCCATCTAAACTTTCGCATTTGTAATATTAGTAAGAAGTAAGATTTGAATTCATTCCGCAGTTCATTACAAGTTAGTCGGCACTCGGAACATTGAGAGTTTCAACTTAAGTAAGTTTTTACAAATAAAATCAACTACACACGACATTTGAACCTTCACTAGTTGATGCGATAATTGCAACAATTCAAGTTCTCATTTGTCGTTGAAATACTAACTACATTTTGCAATCGAAAATAACGTTGTGCATAATAATAATTAGTCATCAAGGATTTGCAATTAAATTGCTTACTTTTAAATTAAACTAGCTCTTCCCATGCGACTTCATCCGCATGAAATTATGAAAATTTTATTTTATTGTTTACATTTATCAAATTCTCAATTGCAAATGTCAAAATACCAATTACCTTATTATGGCTCTTGTTGTTGTCTCTTTCCCACATTAGGGTTTTTATCAAAATAGTTAATGTTTAATGGCTTCAAAATATATAGCTTAAAGCCTGACGTAAGTGTAGGGCTTATTATTCAGAAAAGAATTATTCAAAAATATCCTGTTATTGCTGACATCTTAGGCAACAAAGAAGTGTGTGTTTACGCTTTATTATAATAGCATAGATGAAAACATTCGGCCACTTATTTGAATGATTAAATATGCATAAAAGATTGTAATTCATTTTTATAGTATTTAAATCGAGTAAGAAGCTCATCAAAATTCACCATGACTAAACTATCGCACAACTGTTTAGTTGCGCTAGATTCCTATGAGCTAATATGGAGCGCACACTACCCGATTTTTAGTTTTGCTAAACAATTGAATTGGCTGAAACAATCGAGAATCGCACATTTGTGATTTAGTTTAGTCATTGGTGCGCTCTTAATAACGATGCGACCGCTGTTTAGACTGGCTTTGTTACCAGTAATAAGTAATTTAAGCAAAACTTAAATATCTCTACAATAAAATGCTGCAAATCTTTTTTTGAAGTCGATACTTTCTTGTGTCATCCTGTATCTATTTTTAGGATATTTTGTAGTACTTTTACACAACCTGCCTTATTAGCAAGTAACTGGCAGGTTACGAACTGAAGCAACTAAACGTGACTTACTTTTGAAGATCTGACTTAACACAGCTTAAGTTCTAATAAGTTATTATGCAATTTAACTTGAGAAAGAAATTAAAACATTGGTCAATAAGGCCAAGCTCTTGTATTTTTATGGTAAAGAATCATTTTAACATTATTCATTTAATTCCTTATTTAAAAATGGGTAGCTTTAATTAAAAAAAAATCCGTTTCATAAGATTCCACAACTTATATCTTGTTTTAAATTTGATTGCTTGGATTTTTTTATCGCCTTTACACGTTGCTAATATTATTGAAGTCTGCCAAAATCTATCTATCTCTGTTTTCAATAAGAGAAAGAAAGAGATGGAATTATTTCACACATGAGTAGTTAAACCAAAGTATCTAAGTCATGTTTTAACTTGGAAATGTTGGCTCTCGAAATCAATTAAAATAATCAGAGAATGTCGTATTTTTTTTAAAACAAAGGTAAACAGCTCTACAATTTAAGACAAGGTTTACGGAAAACATGAACGAATTTAAATACTTAGCAAAATAACTTTTCATCCTCATTGAGATAACAAAACTAATTAAAAATTAACAACTTCGTCCTTTCGTTTATTAATTAAAACAAACCAGAATCATCGTAAGCTTTTATAGAGCAGAAGGTAACTTAACTACGTTTATACTGATGTTATAAAGAGGAAAGATTTGTTTTTTTGTACGTATTGAAATAACTCAAAAACGCCCAGTAGTTTCAAAGAATCTTACACCATTAAAAAGCTACTTTATCAGAGAGTAAAATAGGCTATGTTTTTTTTTTAATTTCACGTTTGCAAATTCGAAAGTTTAGATGGATGGATGTTTGTTAGAGTTTGTAGCCTAAACGGCCGAACCGTTCTCGATGAAATTTGGCATAGATGTAGAGTATGGTCTGGAAGAAAACATAGGCTACTTTGTTTTTGATTTAATCCACGCGGACGGAGTCGCGGGCAAAAGATAGTTAGTAAATATAAAACAAAGTCCGTTTCGTTCAGCTGTTTATTCTACAAACTTTATCAAACATCCATCCATCTTAACTTTCGCATTTATAACATTAGTAAGATTACAAACATAGAACGCGTGCTTTAGAAACATTTTTATTCGTTAAATGCACAACAAATCGACATTTGATTAACCTTAGATCCGTCTAGATCAGTAGTTTTGTAGTGTTTCCGATTATTGATAATTGTTTCCCCAATCTGTGCAGCCTCACAACAAGGTTGGCTGATCAGACGTCAGATCACGCCGCTGGCGTACGTGATTAGTAATTATTTTAACAGAATAATTAAATCTGTTACTTCTAAAATTATCTTATTTAATCAAGACTAATATTATAAATGTGAAAGTTTAGATGGATGACATTATAACGACGACATTTTAAACTTATATCTATAGAGAACATAGTCTAGAAGATCATATTGGAAACTTGCTTTTGTATTTCTATTTCAAGTCGGACGAAGTCGCGGGCGATAGCTAGTGATGGTGATGCGAAATTAAGATGGATGGAAGCTTATTACAAAGTATCCTAATTAAATTTATGACCGATTTGATCATTTAGAACGTGTTTTAAATCTGCGTTTACGAAGTCGGGAGCAAAAGCTCGTATTCTAATAAAATGTAACAACCCTTAAGTTAGACTTGTAAGTTTACTGCACTGAAGTAAGGGTGGATAGCTAAGTGGGTTAAGCACATAACTTGTAATCTCGAGGTCCTAATTTTACAATTTCAGTAAAGATTTTATTCAAAAACCACAAAAGTAAATCGTGTGCTACCTACGCTTTATTCGTTACATTACGCATGTTGCATTTTGATCAATTGATGCTTTACATTAGGAAGTATTTTACATTGAAACGCAATATTTAGGTATTTATAGTTCTTTTAAAATGCGCATTTTTAGTGAAACAAGGATATCCTCCTATGCAATGTCAACCAAAACAAAGACAATATTATTGCATTGAAAAAATGCGGTTAGATGCGTTCTGTTGATTTGAAATCTTACTACTATAGTAAATGCTATTTAGATGGATGAATGTTTGTGTTTTACCGCCGAAGCAACTGAACTGATTTCGATGAAATTTTGCATATAAATATAGAAAAAAGGATGTCTAAAATAACGCATAAGTTACTTTACCATAAAAATATTAGACAAATGTTCAAGCAGATTTTAACTTAAAATTAGCTAGCTAGCTTTCGCCCGCGACTCCGTCCGCGTGGAATTTAAAAAAAAACAAAAGTGAGTACTATGCGTTCTTCCAGGATATTCTCTACGTCTGTGCCAAATTTCATCTAAATCTGTTCAGCCGTTTAGGCTACAAACTCTAACAAACAACTATTTATCCATCCATCCATCTTAACTTTCGCATTTATAATATTAGTAAGAAGTAAGATTACTATGCGTAGATATTCGAAATACGATATAGACCGTCAGCTGGTGATATATATTTATAGTGGAACGAAACCACATTAATGTCTATAAAAATCAGCAGCCATCAAAGAATTAAAATACGTAATGTCTAACTATATTTTCTGGGATTATACAGTATGTTTTTATTTGTCATGTCAAAATTCAACAAACATCAATATAATCATACTAATATTATAAATGCGAAAGTTTAGATGGATGGATGTTTCTTAGAATTTGTGGGCTGAACGATTCTTGATAATATTTTGGATAGATGTAGAGCATAGTCTGGAAGGACACATGAGCTACTTACTTTTGTTTTAATTCCACACGGACGGAGTCGCAGGCAAGCTAGTATGTCATAAATTATGATTTAATGAAAATACACTTGTACCACGAGTTGAACAATCTAACTAATATTATAAATGCGAAAGTTTAGATGGATGGATGTTTCTTGGAGTTTGTAGCTTAAACAGCTGAACGTATCTCGATGAAAATTGGTATAGATGTAGAGGATAGTCTGGAAGAACACGTAGACTACTCGCTTTTGTTTTCTTTAATTCCACGCGAACGGAGTCGCGTGCGGAAGCTAGTCTAAAATATTTTATAATTATTGTTTGTTTTAAATTACATACCAATTTGAACTTTATATATACTGTTATAAAGGCGTCGACGGTTAAGGGACATTCGAGACCAAATCCTATATTCAAATATCGAAATGGAGGTCTAGTACTCGTATATAACGTGTGCAGATTCACCGAATAATCACATTTCTCTAACATCATCCTGAGAAGACGCATCTCTGTGAATCAACAATGAAATATGTTAGTAATTATTTATTTTAATTAATTAAAAGTAATTAAAAAGTCTGTTTAATTATGTGATCTTGAAATAAGTGTTTTAAATATTAATTTAATTTTGCAAAACAAGGATGAAAAGGGAGAAGTGATTAAAAATAATTTCTAGTTATATTCAAGTTTGTGTGTGATAAGTTACGGATCTTTGAAAGTGGGTCAGAGTACAGGATGTTCACTATTAATTGCTTGAAGTAATAGTATTTTAAAATTGTAAATTTTCTACTACTTCTTTTGATGCAGAAATAATTATTCGACATTATTGTGATACTTACTTTGGTATATTTTTTAAATGGTTTGAACATTTAAAATACCGCAGACAAACAAAATTTGGTATTCGGCATAAAATTTTATAGAAATATTTTGATTTAAGATTTTCAAAAAGGGTTTAAATAGATTGCTCTTCACCTAACCGTGACAATTCCTGACATTTTGCATCTCTTTTATTTTCAAAGAGAATGAAAGAGAGGACATTATTGTTTTACAACGGAAAATAAATTCAACTCATAGTAATCAGTTGATGTTTATAAGAGGTATAGAAAACCATGCTTTTTTGTTTCAGTTTATTATATTAACCGTAGCTGCTATATCCAACGCAGCTCGGTTAGACAAAACCTATCTGCCGTCGAACATTGGTCCAGCGAGCAATGTCCCATCTCGGACGTACTTAACCCCTACTCAGGGTGCGCCATCTCGAACGTATCTCACACCTACTCAAGATGCGCTGCCAACTCGAACGTATGTCACTCCAACTCAGAACCCGATTCCTTCAGAATCGAGTCATCAAGCACAAATATTGAAGTTCGAGAATGACATGAACGAGAATGGTTATCATTACGCATACGAAACAAGTGACGGTACAAAAGTTGAGGAAAGTGGTAAGTGCTTTTTAATCTTACTAATATTATAAATGCGAAAGTTTAGATGGATGGATAGATGGATGGATGGATGGATGGATGAATGGATGGATGGATGGATGGATGGATGTTTATTAGCGTTTGTAGCCTAAACGGCTGAACGGATCTCCATGAAATTTGGCACAGGCTTAGAGCATAGTCTGGAAGAACACATAGGCTACTTTTTATCCCGGGAATAGTTACGGTTCCGGTGGGATTCATTAATTTAGTTTTTTAATGTTTACTCGATCATTCTGCAACGGTTCAACATATCTTATTGAAATTTGGCACAGATATAAAACAAATTCTGGAGTACACATGGGATAAGCTTCATCCCCGAGAAATGTCCGGTTCCCGAGGGATACGTAGCTTTTTGTAATTTATATAGTTAGTATATTTTCGAATACCTGGCGGACGAAGTCGCGGGTAACAGCTCGTTCAACATAATTTAAAATATTCAAGACGTTAAAGTATGAGATAACGATCTTATCAACTAACTTGATGTTAGAAACGTCCTTTAGTGATTAATTAACGATTCTGAGTGTGGCATTCAAGGTTGTACTTTCGAAGTACTACCTAAGAGATATTTTAATAATGTTTTTTCATATATTACTAAATTTGCACTACTTGTTAAGCTATCAAATACTAAAAGATATTCACAGCGGACTAATGAATACATATGTATTTCCTTAGTGCTTATTAAGGGTATCACTTAGTAAATAATTAACAATTCCAACTGTGGCAGTAAGTTTCGGAATCCTTGTAAATTAGACTCAATTTGCAGCTTGAACATTAGAAATGAAAGGAAAGGTCGGCTCAAGTCACGGCGGTAATATAGAAGGCGTTATGCGGTCGTATCTGATCTCGTGACTATAATGCTCTTTCAATATCGAACGATTCCAAAGACATCGAATATTTAAACTTTGAAATGAATAAAGTTACTAATTATAGTGTGTCTAAATAATTTAGATTAGTTTGACAATTCATTTTAAATTTAGTAGAGACGGGTTGTGTAAAATCAGTCATGAATCTTATCGATTATTACTCTTATAGAAGTTGGAATCGATAGATTGATTGTTATAACTAATGAAATAAAAAAAAACACTATTTTCTCAAATTAATAATGACCATAACAATTAGTGAGAGTAAATAAATGTTTATTACTACTACAGCCGTACGTAATCGAATTGGATTTCGCTATTATTTCTGTCATCGCTAAATTCTCTACATTGTAATCAATACTAATCAAGACTAGATACAGAAGCAAGTAGCTGATACATTTGAATGCCAAAAAAACAGTAAATTAAGGCTAAAATACGATAGTTGCTGTCATACCAGCTACTGGCACTTCATTTTTTTATAGGTTAAATTCCCAACATAGATTAAAAATAAACATAGATTAAAAGTTGCTGTAAACACATTTTAATATCCACAGGTCGAGTGCTTCCCGGAGCTCAACCTGAAGAAGGTTCCCTACAAGTGGAAGGTTCGTACTCCTACGTGGGTGTAGACGGACAGACGTATTCCATCACGTACACCGCTGATGAGAATGGTTACCACGCGACCGGTGACCACCTACCCACACCACCTCCGATTCCTGAGGCCATATTGAAAAGCTTGGAATTAACTGCTGGAAGTGGAGGTAAGGTTTTTAATTCATCAAGAAATACATAAAAATAATCTACTAAATGTACCTTAGACGAATCTACTGTGATTTTTCTACGATCTACAATGAAATATAAGTACAGTCGCGTAAATGCGATGTGGTCCACATACAGAATTGCTTTGCTTTTGCAACGAGTGAAATTTCGTCTCTTCTTACCGTACTTATTAGGTAGCATTGATTTGCGCAAACGACGGGAAAATATTAAGAAGATACGTGTACCACTGGCCGACTTTATGAAGACTTATTTAAAAGCTTATTGGTTGTTGTTCCGCGTCGTCGCGCTGAAAACGTTTAAGCGACTGTTTTAAAAGTGCAATACCTCGAAACTACCCGACTGTACATAAACCTATCAATGTTACCAGATGACAACTGTGATATTGCTTTTCAATACTTTTATCTTGGCTTGATAATTTTATTTTATTACCACAGGTCAATACGACAAGAAGAAAAGCAGTTATGACGCAGACGCTGGCTACTAAATAAACAAATAGTTTTACAGCAAAGTGAAGATCTAAAATCGACTTACAAAGTTTAATTTTTTTTAAAACTTATAAATAAGTCGTTTAGATCCACACGAAACTAACTAGTCTTATTGTCCAGTAATTGTATAAAAATCCAGTCGTATAATGTGTTGATTTAATATTTTTTGAATATATTTTTTATTAAAATGTAAAAGTCTTTTGAATTGCAGTATAAAGTGTACTAAGTTAAAAAACCAAATTCACACCATACAAAATATTTATTATAATAGTCACTCATGATAAGCAGTTTATCTGCAAATTTCTCAAATATCGCTTTGCAATTGGATAACAATTTTGTGAAGCTAAATAGAGCGCCTGTTCAACCTTTAATAGCAAACAATTATTCACAAATAATGTGTGCAACTTTGAAGAAGGCGTTGGTGCCTACTTACAACGTCAAATATCAACGTTTTTTTTTTGAAGAATCTTTAATCTATTAGTGTGGTAGTATACGGAATATAATATTACATTGACCATATTAACATACCAGCGATATCTTTCAGTTCGACAGTCATTACTAAGAATTGATAATGGGTCGACATTTCGTTGAAATTTATCACATTGTTGCTAATAACACAAACTAAATTGTACCGTTGCACTTTGTTTGCTTGTTTAGTTCTACTAACATTCTGTTGAAAATAATTTTATATAATAATTTACATTTCAAAGCCAACTGCCTATATTATTTGTTGTATTTGCATTTTGTTTAGTGATATGTGACAAGTTTTTAATATATTTTATAGGCTTTTAGTACAATTAATTCCTTGGAAATAAATGTGTTTGAATGTAATGATTCGTCATGTTGTCGCGAATGCTTGATCAATCAAATGACTTCATCTAGTGGTTTCACGCATTAAAACACGATGACGAGCCTACAAATACGTCTATTGCTGAAACAAGTACAGAAATATAAAATGTTATTGTAAAAAATATATCTCTGTAGCAACTAATCGTAGAATTAGTTCGCACAATTCATATTTAAAGCGGTTACTAACAGCAAGTAGATCTTATAAAAAATATGAAGCTTACTCACTGTTTAGACGTTACCAATTTTAAAAAAATCAATTCTAATACAGGCCAAGCCAGTAAATTTGATTTATTTGTCATCTAGATCAAAAGAGGTCATTGGAATTTTGTAGGTCTTTTTAACTAGCAACTAACGCTTTCTAAGTATAGAGTGAGGACACTGATAGAGGTAATCCTAGCAATGGTTGGCATTAAAGGTGACATGATCAAGAGGGAAGTGACTGAGGTTACGAAAGATACATTAAGCTGAAGGAAGAAAACCTGGTGTGCCTCTACGTAAGATAAGGCATGTGTCCGCGTGGTATTGAAAAAAAAAACAAAAGTGAATCGCCTATATGTTCTTTCAGGCTATCTTCTACATCTATCCCAAATTTCATTAAAATCCATTCAGCCGTTTAGGCTACAAACTCTAACAAATGTCCATCCAACCATCGAAACTTTCACATTTATAATATTAGTAAGATAGCAAAAATTTAATATATGACAAAATAATATGTTTTCTAGGTCAAACTAGATGGCGTGATAATGGTTACGTAGACAAGACTGCTTCTTTTTTAAAGCTAGAAAATATTTATAGCCAGCCAGACGTTTCAAACAGTCTGTTATGAGTCTTAATTGATGGCGTCTTCAGTAATGAACTTACATAGACCGCTCTAGGACAATGAACTCTTCGCCTTAAATAGCATTTTCGTTACTGTTCATAAATGAACCAGTATGAATTAAGTACATTTATATGTGCTAAGTAAAATGTTTAGATACTAACATCTAACATGCATCAATACTATTATAGTCGAATTCAATAGAAATTCTATTTGCACATTGGAATTCAAATTGGAATGGAATGATATTTATTGTCTGTGGTTTTACTTTGGAAACTTTAAGAAAAGATGTTATTAGCCTCTGCTACTGTTAAAAGAGTAACGGCGGTATATTGAAACGACCTTTTTTTAAACGAGTGGCAAGCGAAGCGACCGTTGCTGATAGACGTCCGTAATTGCAGATACATTTTCTACCCTTAATTAAAGAAGGAGACGCATATAAAGAGGATGTTTCCATTTCCTAAGCGTCTCCTCCACAGTCAAATCCCTTAATCCAAAGCAACTAAAACTAGGCCTCCAGCACGCACTTAGACTGTACGCGGAATTGCTTCCACTTGACGCCTGTCTTCTGTGTGATCATGGTATTGCGTGTAGGGAGCCGGCCCTACAGTGCGAAGATGGTAAAGCGGGCTCTACCACAATCTATTTTTAAGCACTTTATGTCACGTTCATAACAAATGAGAATCTACGCATACTTAGCGTCGCTATATGACGCGTTATATCCGTGATTTAGTAATATTAAGGCGGTAATACACACGCCAGTATAACAAAATAGTAGCTAATTCGAGTTACTTTTACGTACCAGTTACTTGTAAAGTACGTTCACACGTGCCAGTATTGTGAAGAGACTGTATGTATCGTGTTACTGACAAATTTCTTACCATCCTCATCCCCTTCTCCAGCTAACTTGCAGGTAACTGTCTTGCACAAAATTAAATATAGTGCTAGTTAGCGTTTACACGTGCTTGAAACTGGCATGCAAGTGTATCTATTTCCATATGTGTTTCCGGGATTATTTAATGTTTTAGTGCTATGTTTGTATAATAAGTTTCAAGTACAAACGTATCTTTAAAACTTGAACAAGCTGTTAAATTGTATGTTCATTGAATGAAGTAAGCGAAATGACGTAGGCTTTATAAAGGTGAGGACTAACTGCAGTGCAACCTTAGGGAATGATTACTAATTCATTCCATTAATTTTCTATGTTAATCTTTATTGTTGTCCTTATTTCTTTAAAGAAATGTAATGGATATCAATCTTCACTAATATTATAAAGAGGATAGATTTGTATTTTTTTTGTATATATTTAAATAAATCAAAAACTATTAAAAATTATACTATTAAAAAGCTACGTTATCAGTGAGTAACATGGGCTTTGGTTCTATTTTTATCAATTTCATGCGAACGAAGTCGCGAGAAACAGCTAGTTTGAAATATGTTGCCACTATTATTGCAAAGGTTAGATGAATGGATGAATGTTTGTTAGAGTTTGTAGCCTAAACAATGGCATAGGTGTATAACATAGTCTGGAAGAATACACTGCCTGCCTTTTGTTGTTTTTTTTTAATTCCACGCATACAGTCTTACGCATTAAGCTAGTAAGTTATAATTAAAAACGAACAAACCACACTTAAGTTAAAAGTCATCGTCAAGACAGAACAGATGTCTTCCAGATGCGTGGCTATTCTGTGTACAGGACGGGGTTGTTTGGGATGATCAGGGTTACAAAAATAGATTATAAACTGTTTGTATTATGAAGACGAAAGATTTGTTTCTTTGTAAGCGACGAATTGAACGAAATATGGGGTGTTTTAAGTGATTTAAACAATTATTAATTGCTAATTATTGTTAAAATAATAATACTCTTGTTACTGAATTCTAAGGGTTTACTGTAAGCTAGTAAATACTGGTTTAAACCAGATATCTTAAATTTAATCTATATTAAGAATCTTCCTTAGTAACTACAATTGGCTTTCAAAAGTAAGATATCGACATATTAAATCGAAATACAGTTAACTTCGCTTTAATACTCAGAATTTTTAAAAAAATTCATTCTTTTAGACTTGATAAAAAAACACTAAAAACAATCTATTATCATATATAAATTTATCTTAGGACATTATGCGTAAAAACATCTCGTCTTCAAACCTTGAACTGTGGAGATAAAAAAACATTATTGTAAAACATTCAATGCAATTTGGCGAGAGAATAGAGTCACGTTCACAAAGAAGATTAAGGTATTGTGCTCTAATAATATGATAATTATATCTGATAAATTGACTTAGTAATACAGTTAAGGATGCGTTCGTATTTGTTGAAGATTATTAAATATATTAAAGAGATCAAAACAACAAAATATATTAAAGGCAGAAATACACATGTGAGTAAAATCTCGGTCCCATCCTCTACTTAGCTACGTTGTCACAAAATTAAATAAGCTAGCTATTTGTGATACTGGCATTCCAGTTAGCGATAACACTTGCATGTAGCTCAAAGAATCCCTAAATTCTATTAAACGTGTAAAAAAAAACTACTAATAAGAAGAAAACGTACATATATATCTTAGAATAAATAAATAAAAATGATATAGAAAATAATAAAAGCAAATTAAATTAAACAAAAAAGTAACTACAAAGACAACAAGGTTGCCGCAAGGACTACAGCAGCAGAAAATAAAGAAAATAATAAAAAAAAAACACTTGCATGTAGCTGGCACTTGTCTGTAACTTGCATGTAAGTGTACCAGCTACTGTTATTTCCGTCTTAACTCAAAGCTTACGAATTCTACTAAAGTGTACCCATTTATAATGTAACGAGCTGTTGCCCGCGACTTCGTTTGCGTGGTATTAGAAAACATACGAACTATATAAATAACAAAAAGCTACGTATCCCTCGGAAACCGGACATTTCTCGGGGATGAAGCTTATCCCATGTGTACTTTGACTTTGTTTTATATCTGTGCCAAATTTCAATAAGATATATTGAACCGTTGCAGAATGATCGAGTAAACATTAAAAAACTAAACTAATGAATCCCACGGGAACCGTAACTATTCCCGGGATAAAAAGTAACCTATATGTTCTTCCAGAATATGCTCTAAACCTGTGCCAAATTTCATGGAGATCCGTTCAACCTTTTAGGCTACAAACGCTAACAAACATCCATCCATCTATCCATCCATCTAAACTTTCGCATTTATAATATTAGTAAGATTGTACAACTTGTACTACTAGAGTGTACTATGTAATCTGTTAATATTTGAGTCCAAATAATGGATTAAAAATTTAACGATAGTTTATTTATTTATTCAATAACTACCTTTCGCCCGCGACTTCGTCCCCGTGGAATAAAAAAAAAACAAAAGTATGTAGCTTATGTGTTCTTCCAGATTATCCTCTACATCTATGCCAAATTTCATCGATATCTGTTCAGCAGTTTAGGCTACATACTCTATCAAACATCCATCCATCTAAACTTTCGCATTTTCGCTTTATAATATTAGTGTGATAGTTGTGACAGTTTCATCGCAAGAAGTTACAAAAGATGTACTATTAAAATTACTCATATGTAATAGTTTCAGGGAGTAATTCTAACAAACAATCGGTGGTAGTGTGTAGTCACCCTTATGTGAAGTCTACGTTAGTCCGTTGCAGGCGGTGCCGCGGCGGGCACGCGCGATATGAAATATTTACTAGTGCTCGTGTGTTGTGCTTTCGATCTAGGATACTGCAGGATCGCTAGTGATTTCGTGAGTTATTTTAACTTTAATTTTTATAATCTATACTAATATTATAAAGAGGAAAGATTTGTATTTTTGTATGTATTGAAATAACTCAAAAACTACTGGGCCTATTTTAAAAATTCTTTCACCATCAGAAAGGTAATTTATCTGTGAGTAATAAACAATACAATTACTACTGATATGACAGTATTTCTTACTGTAAGATGACAAATGTTTTACTGCAGTAATTTTTATTTAATAACTGACATTATTTGGATTTTAAAGGTAATATAATGAAAGGCTCTTACTATTAGACAGAACATCACTAAAAATAGTAATTATTTTATAGCAGTTCAACTTACGTTTACGACAATTTTAATATATTTGGATCAAAATTTAATATTTCAATAAGAAAATTACTATAGCAACATTGTCTTCAAACTGTTTAATATTTTTCAGAATCTACACAAAACACCACAGTTTACTCTAATAAAGCCTCAGCCAAAAAATGAAATCACAATAAATATAATGATGCATTTCGACAAAGTCCTAACAGACAAACTTGTCAAAGAATACGGAGCGAAAACGAGAAAGAAATTAAAAATTATATCAAACGGTATACTGAAAGATGTAGAGAATTTCTATCGACATCCGAGTTTGAATCAAAATATCAAATTCAAATTAAAAGATACAAGGTTTCTAAAGAATAATACGAAAATAGTCAAAATGGATGAAAACGGTAGCTTGTATTTGAAAAGTTACTGCGAATGGCAGGGAAAGAGGAAACTAGTGAATGATTGGTACTATTCAGTGCTACTTACTGGTCTCGACCTTTATTATCTAAGTAAGAATGGTGAAGAAGTGCGAAGAAGTACAGGTATTTTTTTCTTTTTAAAAACTTTATTTATTTATCTTCACTTCTTCATCTTCGAACACGATTTAATTTTTATTTAATTTTAAAATATCTCTTTTAATGTTTTAAATGCTTAACAGATACGAAAGGCATAGATATAAACATAATCGGGAAGAAAACATAGCTACATAAAGCTACACATTATCATTCTCTAATTCCGCGCGTAGAAGTCGAGGGCAAAACCTAGTTAATTACTATACTTTTGTTATGATATAACTGAAGATGACCCAAACATTTGGTGTCATAAAGAACGTGGCGGTATTTCCAATTTGATAAGAATAATCTGTTCTTCCGACGTTATACGTCTATCTAAAATTAGGCCTAGTAAATTAGTTGTTTTATTATCTTACTAGTATTATAAATGTGAAAGTTTATATGGATGGATGGATGTTTGTTAGAGTTTGTAGCGTAAACTGCTGAACGGATTTCGATGAAATTTGATGTCGATGTAGAGGATAGTCTGGGAGAACACATTGGCTACTTGGTTTTGTTTCTTTAATACCACGCGGACGGAGTTGCGGGCGAAAGCTAGTTAAAGTCATAAAGCATATCTATTTTAAGTTCTTCAATAGTCATTTGTTTAAAGAGGCACTTACGTACATAAATCATAATACGAAATAGACAAACATCTCTCTTTTCGTATGCCACTTTATATAGAGTCGATGCAATAGTTTTCGATATCTAGAACAATCTACATTTATTATTACAGTGATCTTCACAGTCTCTATCTTAAACATGCTAACTCATATTCTTCCAGGACGTGGTTACGTAGGAGGCGTATGCAGTATGAAAAACAGCTGTGCGCTGCTGGAATGGAACTCGAAGAATATCGGATATTTACTCGCTCACGAAATCGCTCATAGGTAATTAATATTACATCACCCTTATTTATAACGATGATGAAGCTCTGTGTCCAATAGATTTGACGCTATAGTCACAAAACTGTTGGTTCCATTCAAAGACATTAAAAAAAATAGACTAGACATACGAAACAACATTTTTTCACCGGCAACTTCATTGTACGGTAATAACTCAATGTCGAATTTGATTTGTTTGTTTGTGATTTTGACTATCCGACACCAGTTAGTGTTACTGAGAATATGTGCGAAATGTTTCAAGTGTAGTGTCAACTCTACATATTTTTTGAATCTCTTTGGTTTGTTATATTAATTAATTACTCTTTGGTTCCTTTACACTTATTGTTACATATGACTTCGCAGGATTTTAAACAATTAAGAAGGTTCTTCCACATGCGAAAAAACTATTTGAATTATCACACCAATAGAAAACCATTCTTTGAAAGCTACACAAAAAACCTTTTTCTTTGAATGTTTTTAAACGATACTTAGACGTATTTTAACAGAAAGCGGTTGTCTGGTTCGCACATTTAGTATTATAAGCAATCGATTCTAAATTGGTCAAATACGATAGCCTATACTTTGAATTAGGCGTAAGGTGAATAACCTGCCTGGAATTTGTAGAACAATAAATTGCAGATTGCGCGAAAGTTTACATGAAACAGACTTTATCTTTAAAGTACTAAGAATAGCATTTCCTCTATTAAATTTTCTTAGAAAACTGTTACGTAATGTGAACATGATAAAGTGTAATGTATATAATAATCATCATCTTCTTCACCATCTCCATTGAAGAACTCGGAGACTGCCATTGATTACGGGCGACTACGCCATCTTTAAAGCCATATGCATAATTTTTTTGAATCTATTTACTATCATTTCATGAGGTCATTTATCTTCAATAATAAATTATTATTCCAGTCTAGGTATCAACCATGACGGTCTACCGTACAACCAGTGCCGAGGGCAGCGTTACATGATGGGAGCTAAGTATAACCCCGACAACCATCCTCGAGTCTGGTCCCCCTGTAGCAAACATGCACTCAAGAGATATTTAACGTAAGTAAAACTTTGCTATTAAAAAACGTAAGGAAGTTGTGAAAATTTTTCCCCAATGATTGAACCTATTGGATTTATTTTGTTATACTATTTGTTTATAAATAGATAAATTGTAATTAAACTCAATGATTCTTAATATATTTTTGATATAATTAAGTCATCAACAATTCAATTAATTGTATGTATTTTCTTTTAGGAGCGAGAAATCCTGGTGCCTCCGCCCGGGAACTAAGAAAATAACGAGAAACTTACGATTGAATTAAATGAAAATATTGTGATATTAATGAATTAAGTAATATTAAAATTGATTGCATTTAAAGTGCTTTTAATAACCTTACAAAAAAACCAAAGCAAAATATTGAACTTTCAAAAAAATCAGTGCATCAAAGTTTTAATAGCTTCTAGTTATCTTAATAGGATCTTTAATTTAAATAAATGTTATAGACACATGGCGGGAAACAGCTTTATAATTGCTTTTGTTACTTAAGTTAGAGAAAGATTGGATTTTGTCATTTTCTGTTTTTTTCACTATTCAGTTTATTAACAATAGAATAAATTTGCTATTAAAATGTTACAGGCGCTACAATTAATTAATTTTCGGATCCGAAACTATGCCTTGCAGATTCTTATGATAAAATGTGCTGTCGATCGAACTATAGATAAAATTATATAGTATTTCTGATTCTATAATCACAAACAGACAATTCAATAACACTGAATTGCAGAACAGTGTTAATTTTAGTTTTAGTTGTTGTGTTGAATACTATTCTAATTCACAACGTAATAGAAACATGATCGATACGTAACAATAGCGACCGTGTCATATTATTTTACTCCCAATTAACAAAACACGATACGTATTGCGTTTTTTGTGTGAAATATAAAATACTTTCACCCAAACTGTGCAACTGTACAATAACAATGCGTATATTGTATTCCGACCACGTCAGTATGTCCGTCACAAAACCCCATATTAGTATGCTAGAGATAAACAAAACTGAAAGTCGATTTCGACTGTTTAAAACGAAAGTTAATTCTCTTAAATACAATACAAAAAAAAGAAATTCATTAGGATGTTACACGTTGTGAACATTTGGCGAATAAGTGTTAAATTTCTACAGCAAATTATCAAATTTCTCCGTTTAATTCCGACATAAAACAATACTAATATAATAAGCTATAATACAATTAAAGATTTAATCATTTTAATCAAATACCTTCATTCATCTGAGGCACTACAGCCACGGGTGGGCCTGGTCCAGTAAACTTCTCCAATTCTTTCTATTTTGGGCCTTTTGCTTCCAGCCCTTAACGCCGATGTTCTTAAGATCGCGTTCGACGTCGTCTAGCCATTTAAGTTTCAGCCTACCACGCGATCTACGTGCATCCGGCTCATTTTCCAACAGGCGTTTAAGAACTCTGCAATCATCCATGGGGGCAACATGTTCTGCCCAGCGCAGTCGTCCAATTTTGATGACCTTGGTGATTTTTGGCTCTTTATACATTTGGTACAGCTCGTGGTTGTATCGTGATCGCATTGATCACCAATGAAAACAGCACCATAAATACGACGCAGTATCTTATGCTCAAACACTTGTAAGCGTTCCTCATCTTTCGTTTTTGTTCGTTATGTTTTTTTTTTTTATATAAATAAAGTATTAAATAAGTAAATAATATAAACACTATCCCTTTATGTACCATTCAGTTAGTAGTATATCATCATCGACAGCACACTAGACGTCCCCACGGAGAGGTTCGGAGCCTACTAAGTTAGGGTGACTAGGCCATACTCAACCACGCTGACCCACTGTTGGTTGGTTGACTTCACACATATCTTTGAATTACAACAAAAAAGCATTCAGTAATTTTCAAGTTTAAATTATATACAAAAAAGAATTCATTGTCAAATAACACAAACGAATTATTATCACCTACTGACCTACAGACCTTATCAGTTAAAACAAAGGACTACAGTTACGGCTGTCTTCCGTAACATTGTAAATTACTGCGAAGTCGAAAAAGAACTTACTGTCAATACAAGTAAATAAACTTACAAGAAAACTGTTTTAGCTACCTTAAATAGCATAGAAATACTCGTCTAAGTTAATTGAGCTTAGAGGTAACTTCCTTAGTAACATAGTACACACGCATATTAGCTTTCTCCCGCGACTCTGTTCGCGTAGATTTAAAAAATAAGTAGCCTATGTGTTCTTGCAGACTATGCTGTACATCTAAACCAAATATCGAGATCCGTTCAGCAGGCTAACAAACCAATCGATCTAAACTTTCGCATTTATTACATTAGTAAGAAGTAAGATGTATAAAGACGTAAATATTTCACGTTAACAATCATTATAGCAGAACAATGCGTATTTAAACTGTATCCAGCAAAGCCTATCGAAGCGTTGCAGCGAATGCTCCAGATTTATTAGCGTGAAGATTTAACGCCCTTTCTCTTTTTTACTTTCCGCGATTTCGCGAACAATACGCCCGAATGTCGGGTTGTGGAGAAAGGCAGAACAATGGACAATCTACCACATGCGATACCTAAGTAACATTCGGTTAACAATTGTTAATTTGTGGTAATTTTAAATGGCTTAATCTATTTGCTAATGAAATAAATAAGAGTGAACAAAGACTACCTAAGGGAACAAGAAGGTATAACACCGCTTATCAAAACAATAAAACTAATTGACTACAACGCATCCGAAATAACAAGACAGTTGAGTATAATGACGTCATACTTGTTGGCAGAAAATAACAAAACATACAAGAGTAACTCCGCTCTACAGTACTCAAAATTAGAAATGAAGTTATAAAATTTTCGTTGTATAATTTCAAAATGCGCAAACTTTTAAAACCAAAAAGAAAAAAACAATAAATGCAAAAGTGTTCTCCCAAAAGAAATGACAAATTTTGAAAAAGTTCAAATTATAATATCGATGTCTATTCCATATAATTTCTGTTCCTGTGATTTACGCGCCCTGTACAAACAGAAGCGGAACTCATCTAATTTTCACTGTTTCTCTCATTTTCATAATAAGGACATGTGTTTGCAAATGCACGTAATACGTACGAAAGCTGCGTAATTTCTTTAATGTCCTTTTATTACCACCGTTAAAATAAACATCGTTACCTAAACGTGTTGGATATGATACTTATTTTACTAGAATACTGTACCATATTTAAACAATTTTAACTGTAAAGTTCAAAAGGTTAGTATGGACCTAACCATAATATTTACTACTACTTTTAAAGCAACTAAAAAATCGAAATCTCCTTTTAGTTTTCAAATTAACGTAAATCAGGTGATTTAAAAAAAATATATTTGCAAATTTTTTTGATTATTTTATTATTTAACATCCGATTAAAAATATCCAACTTTATTATGCAATATCAAACGAAAGTAGAAATGATAATTTAAAGCATATTAACTGGGTTTGTATTGCCAGTTAAGCTTGCAATAGAATAGTGTTGTTCGCATATAAAATTTAAATGTATCTACATATTAAAAACATAGCAATAGCTAGCAATTTTACAGTTCTAATTATTGGCTTAATGTATGTCTCCACTGAGGGCCTCAGAGACTAAGTTACGGGGTGGCTATGGCGTCAACCACGTTGGTTCCCTGCGGGTTGACTTCACACATATGTACCTTTGAATTTCTTTGCAGATATATGCACTATGTTCCTTATCGACACTATTAGAATAACAACGTGAACTTAACCTAAAAAGAAAAATTCAAAAGTTGTAATTATATCGATAAAATTACATCACTGGCCATTCTAAGTTCGTTCTAATTCGAGTGCAGCGGGCACAGTCGCAAGCCGCAGTACTGGCTGAATCGACGCGGCCACGCGGTGACAGATGACAGCGAAAAACGCGCGAAATACTCCGTAAAATGATTACGATCACATTTATAAGAACAAAATTTCTGTAAACGCTGACATTATTGTTAATTTATAAATAAAACTTGCTATAATAGCCACGTTATGTTCATACTAGAGCGAAAAAAATATTTTTAATGTATTTTAGTTTTCGTAATTAGTTTTACAAACATTTTTATATTTAAGCATGTGAACTGGACGTTTTTAGTGTTTAATTGTAATCGTTAATTAGTCATGTGTTGGAGAAAAGTGATTCTTGTTGCCGTTTTATCTTCAATATTAGATGTCTACAGTGAAGAACTTTTCGGAGATGATGTAAGTTTTTTTTTTAATTTATAACTGAACATTAAAAACCATAAACAATAAACTAAAAGGATGACTACCCCGTTGATGACAAAAACCATATTGAAAATAAAACCTCTATACATGAAATAAACGATGAAAGCAATGGATATTTGAGATCGGCTGTAATATTTTAGTTTAATTCTCAATGGGCCACATAAATTTTCCGATCTATACTTACATTATTACTCTTCAGTTACAAACCAAACACTAGGAAGTTAACAATATCTCTATCTGATAGAATACACATCCTTCCTATTTGTCGCATTCCAAAAAGTTACAATTAACACCAAACATCAAATAAGAAACGAGGACACTTGCAGCTACAAAAATAAAAAATATTACAATGTCAAACAAACGCAGAAAATACGTACATATTCATATTATCACAAAGTTTTACAATATATTTCCGGAGTCGCTAAAATGGTCTATTGTATACATAATGTATTACGCCCAGAACATAAAAATAGCGTAAATATGGTAATAGGTAATGGGTAATTTAAAAATCCAAAAAAAAAAATAAAACAATTTTCAAACTTGATCACAATTTTAATGGTTCATTTTGAACCATGTAGGGACAAAATAAACAGACAAAAAAAAACATTGTTGACAACTGTATTGAAATAAAAAATAAAACTGTATTTTCGTATTCTCAATAATGGATTTTTAAATAGGTCTATAAGGTCGTAGCTATCCAATACAATGAGAGGAATCTGGTGTTAGGTCATGCTTAAATTCTGAATGGCAACAGCGTACCTTGAACTGAGGCAGGTTCAAATGTCGTGATAGCACGCGTTATAAAATAAGTGGCCTAGATTGTTAGAGACAAACGTTATGGTCACAGGAAATTTAAATTAACTATCAACTACAATATTCTGCTTGCTAATATTTTACAAGTTATTTATAAAACAAATTATTTGTACACACTTATGGCCTGACAGTAAAGTATGTGATGGTAATATCGGATTTTGTTACCTTATCTGACAGTAAAGTCATTTTTAAGCTATCTGAGCCTCTATCAGCCAGTAGTGGGACAGTGCCTAAATTATGTTAACACCTTTCTAATATAATTAAGAATCTTTGTATGTGATATTTAGATACTAACAGCTTTAAAAAAATATAACGCAGAAATAAATCTAATTGGCTTTGCGCAAACTTTAAACGTATTGTTTCTTACTTTAATAAAAAGATAATACAATTCAATATTTATTATTACATGTATCGATTAAATGTATCATTTTAAAAACAATAAAAAGTCGTCTACAATATAAATAACAATCAATTTAAATTCTGCTAAATGAAGCCAACAATAACTAAATAATGTTCTCATATGACAATGAACTCAAAATCTTGCGACATCAATGAAGGTAATAAAATTCAATTACTTATTCAGTAGGCAACAAAACTTTACACGGCTTTTAATTATAGCAGTCATTTCTAGATATACATCTCTTTCAGACTGAATTTACGCAAGCCGTTGTCTTTGAAAGTTAACGCAACGTACTGGGAACTGGCAGATTCGTTCGTTCGTCGTGAGATATGGTAGCGTGGATTCTCCCATTAGTGAAGGAAGACGTTGTTGAAAAACAACAGAGTCATATAGAATACCATTACGATACTGATAAATTAAGTTCTTAAACCGGTAAGACGTACGGTGCCAATCTGATCTTCTGGTCCTGGAGTCCCATTGCCCAATTATATCTTTATGCTTAACTCACAGGTATTTACGTCATACTAGCTTTTGCCTGCGCCTCTATCTATTCGAAATTTTACGAAGATTTCTTCAGCAGCTTATGCTACTCTATATTAGCAAGATAAAAATAAATTAAAAAGAATTAACCAAAAAAATGGGACCCACCTGCAAGCATTACCTTTCGGATATAAAAAGAATTAACAAAATCGGTCCACTAGCGGCGGAGTTATGCCGTAACACACATAAAAAAAAACATACAGACGAATTGAGTACCTCCTTCTTTTGGGAAGTCGGTCAAAAACAAAACACTACCAAACTTATCACATTAACTCCCGTTTGATAGCATCAGTAATACAAAAGTGTAAACTTGAAACAAAATTGTCACAATATTACATAGAAAAATCTCATAAACCATTAAGATGAAGAAAAAGCTTCAAAGATTGCGTGTAATTGCACAAGAATCGTTTACAACGGGATCGTCGCGTGAAACTATAACGGTCTGTGTTCATACGTTGACAATCACGACGTTCTTTGTTACGTACTAGTACACGGTTATATAAGAATCTACAAAAACGTAGTTCCAATTTCTAATCGTGAACTACTTCAGAGTAGTACTTACATTAAACATGATACCTTATAGCCAAAAAATTATCACTTACTAGCGCGACTTCGCCCGCGTGAAATAAAAAAATACCCCATGTCACTCACAGATAAATTACCTTTCTAACGGTGAAGGAATTTTAAAAATCAGCCCGGTAGTTTTTGAGTTATTTCATTACAATCAAACAAACAGTTTTCCACTTTATAATATTAGTTTGATTATAACTACGTCGTAGTCTTTGACTCTAAAAATCAAACAAAAATGTGACCCACCTACAAGCATTACCTTTCGGGTAAAAAAGTAATTATCAAAATCGGTCCACTAGCGGCGGAGTTATGCCGTAACACACATAAAAAAACATACAGACGACTTGAGTACCTCCTTCTTTTGGGAAGTCGGTCAAAAAAGATGAATTAAAAAGCATTAAAAAGGTTAAAGAACCTATTCGCTAACAAGATTAAAATACCTGGGATTTTAGGAAAACAAATTATAAATATCAACATAATTTAAATAATATATTTTCTTCACATATCATGTAATTTATTACACCATAAAAATCAAAAATGTATCATTCGTTTATGTCAAAAAATTTACACAATGAAGTAAAGCATACAAGAATTTCTTAAAATGAGTATCAGAAAACTGGTTTGCTTCCTTTAAGATAAACAAAATGCAAAAGTAAAACAAATGTCAAGGACATTTTTACAAACAAACCAAAATAACATATGTCAGCCAAATCTCAAATTATCCTACACCAAGTTTAAATATACCTAATTGATTATATCTACTTTAAGGGACATCTGTAACCATCGTCTGTCCTTATTGCACTCGTGAGCCACCAGATTTCATCCTCCAGGTATCTCTTTCCCTCTCGAAGGTGTATCGGTCTAAAGAATTGTAAAATCTAAAGTCAGATTTAGTTGAATATCCACATAATACTGTCTCAATGTCAAACGACAGGATTTACCTCTTAAGATTTATCAAAACATGAACACCACAATATCAAGATTCTTGCATTAAGTATTCAGCTTCTGTGATACATTCGAAGCACGTGAATCTCCAGAAAAGATAAGTTTTATCTTACGTTAGTAAAGAAAAAATATTCGTACGTTTGTAACGACTAAACTCAAAAACTACTGAACCGATTTAAAAAAATCTTTTACTATTAGATTGCTACATTAACTTAGAATGACATAGGCTATAATTTTCATATTATAAATGCGGAAATATGTATGGATAAATATTTGTTACTACGTATCTCCAAAACGACATAACGAAACCCAATTAAAGAAACATAATGTGGAAGAACACTCATTTACTAAGTTTTCGCAGAGTCTTAAACAACTAGTATTAAATATAGTAACAAGATGTTTTAAAATAATATTCAGGCATACGAAGTCGGGACATGCTATAAGTAAAATAGTCGTGCATTGAATTCTAAGTGTTTACTTGAGAATGTGCTTAATCTTGCCTAAACCAGTCGCACTTAGAAGGACATAATTATCGTAAAAATTCATATCCGTCCTTGTGTAATTACAGTGAGAATTTGCTTCGTAAATCGAATCGGATCTTACGATATAAAAACTATTTCCTTTTTTAAATTGCAGTACCACATGTTAATAAACTTTCATTGACCTTCACATATTTACGACTAAATTTGAAACACAACAAATTCTCATCTCCTTGGTGTCTACTACACGGACTTTGATAGGCAATTTTCTTTCTAATGACATGCTTGAAATTGAACCCGTTTTCAAGATTCATAAAATTATTTAAGGTAAATCTTACTAATATTATAAATGCGAAAGTTTAGATGAATGAATGTTTGTTAGAGTTTGTAGCCTAAACGACTGAACCGATCTTCATGAAATTTGGCAAAAACGTAGAGGATAGTCTGAAAGAACACATATCCTACTAACTTTTGTTTTATTGAACTCCACGCGGACGGAGTCGCGGGATAAAGCTAGTTTTACATAAATTTATTGTATGGATAACTCGACACAAGACTTTGTCCCAGTGACTCTCAAATGACTTTACACGTGACAATGCGGCGATGCTCTGATTGCGATCTCGGCTAAACCATTTGAATTCGCACGTAAACTCTTTTGACACTAAATTATGCAGAAATAGTTATCTTTAAGCTGTCTGGGTTACACCGTTACATATCCAGAAAAACTACATCAAGCTTGATGGAATTAATTCTATGACATGATTATTTTTTATTTATATTAATCACTTTGCATCAACATAAAGTAGAATTTACCTCATCAGGAACTTTGGTGGGAAGATATCTCTGTTCACTATTTAGTTCATGTTAATCACTATGCGTACTCGCGTCATAATTTCATTCACGCTTGGCTGATCAAGAAAATTGAACCAAAATATCGCGTTTCTATAAAAAATTGTACCTTTTCCAGATATGATGGGGTACCTTCCATCATCTCAGTCTTTACTCCCTTCATGTCACCTTTCACGCACCTTACATCCCTTCCTATGTCTACTTCTACCAGTCTACTCATACTCAAGTTTTCCTTGTCAAGCATATCTACTCTTTAAATTACTTATATTCGATCTAGTTAGTAACTGTATACGCAATCATTCTTTTGACACAATCATATCATCTTCACAGTTCCTTCACCGTGAGAGCCAACTGTAAAATGATCTTAAATTAACCTAGAC